GCACAGGGCAAACTATTGTTACACACACACGCACAGGGCAAACTATTGTTACACACACACGCACAGGGCAAACTATTGTTACACACACACACGCACAGGGCAAACTATTGTTACACACACACACGCGCGCACAGGGCAAACTATTGTTACACACACACACACACGCACAGGGCAAACTATTGTTACACACACACACACACACATGCACAGGGCAAACTATTGTTACACACACACACGCACAGGGCAAACTATTGTTACACACACACAGGGCAAACTATTGTTACACACACACACACACACATGCACAGGGCAAACTATTGTTACACACACACACACACACACACACACACAATAAGGACTAATGCGGAAGAGATCTAATAACTGCACTGTAGTGATTTTCAGAATATCTTAGGCAAAAAAATGCAAGATGTAAGAAAGATGCTACCTTTTGCATAAGAAGGGTATTATTATTATTTTGCAAAAGATACACAACAATGAGTGTTCAAATACTGATGTGTATATATCACAAGGACACAGGATCCAGCATGAATGAGCTCTCATTTTGAGCATTAAAATAAATAATGAATAATAAGAAGAATGGATTAAAACACATTTAACAACAAAAAATTCATGAGTCCATATTGACAATAAAAAATAAAGACAGATAGGGTAGATAGGATGGAGAGAGAAAAAAACATTTTATTTTATTTTATTAATATTATTTTTTTGAGACAGAGTCTTGCTCTGTCACCCAGGCTGGAGTGCAGGAGCATGATCTCAGCTCACTGCAACCTCTGCCTCCCAGTTCAAGCGATTCTCCTGACTCAGCCTCCCAAGTATCTGGGACTACAGGTGCACGCCACCACACCCCACTAATTTTTGTAGTTTTAGTAGAGATGGGTTTTTGCCATGTCAGACAGGCTGGCCTCAAACTCCTGGCCTCAAGTAATCCACCTGCCTTGGCCTTCCAAAGTGCTGGGATTACAGCTGTGAGCCACCACACCTGGCCAAGAAAGATTTTCTTCACAGAAGAATGCCAACTACTGAATATAGATGGAAAGAACAGAAACAGAAAATCACCATTTAAAAACTATCATAGTAATAATTGATTCAACCAAGAATCGTCAGTGGATGCTAAAAACATTGGGTGAAAGATTGCTGAGGAATAGAATAAAGAGAAATCTAACAGACACCATCTTAGCCAAATGATCGAATGTAGCATCACCAATAACGGGACAAACAGACATCAGGTGCCTCCTTGATGTGATACACTGATAAGGGCACACTTCCCCTATGCAGTACTCCTGCCAAAAAATTTAACCTGAATATAATGAAAAAATAATCGGGCAAATCTAAAGTGAGGCAAATTCTGGAAAACAATTGGCCTGGACTTCTAAGATATCAATGTCATGAAAGAGTTAAAAAACAACAACTGAGAAACTCATCTGGAATAAAGGAAAACCAAAAGACCTGATAACTGAATACAGTGCATTATCCTTGATTGGATCCTGGATCTGGGAAATAAAAACAGTACAGGAGTACTTGGGGGAACTGAATATAGTCTGGATAATAGATAATAGTATTATATTAATTGTCATTTTCCTGAATGGAAAATTATATTGTAATTATGCAGTGAATGCCCTTGTTTTTAAAGGAAATATGCCAAGTGATTAGTATGACATATTGCAGTATCTCCAATTATCTTTCTTTTTTTTTTTTTTTTGAGACAGAGTCTCACCATCTGGGTCTTTTTTTTTTCACCACCATGCCTGGCTAATTTTTACATTTTTAGTAAAGACGGGGTTTCACCATGTTGGTCAGGCTGGTCTCAAACTCCTGACCTTGTGACCCGCCTGCCTCGGCCTCCCAAAGTGCTGGGATTTCAGACGTGAGCCACCGCACCCAGCTCCAATTATACTTCAAATAATTCAGGAGAAAAGAAAGAAATGAAGCAAATATGGCAAAATGTTAATGATTGATGAATCTAGGGAAAAGAATATGGGTTTTCCTTGCACCATTCTTGTATTTTTCTGTAGGATTGAATTTTATCAGAATAAAAATATATCCACTGTCACTTTGGAGGGCAAGAAAGAAAAATATAAATAAATAAAAGTGTAGAAACACTTCACATCAAAAATATTTATTTATTTTGTTTCTTTGTTTTGAGACAGAGTTTCACTCTTGTTGCCCAGGCGGGAGTACAACGGTGCATTTTCGGCTCACTGCAACCTCTGCCTCTCCAGTTCAAACAATTCTGCTGCCTCAGCCTCCTGTGAGCTGAGATTACAGGCACCTGCCACCATGCCTAGGTAATTTTTTCATATTTTTAATAGAGATGGGGTTTCACCATGTTGGCCAGGCTGGCTTCAAACTCCTGACCTCAGGTGATTCGTCTGCCTCGGCCTCCCAAAGTGCTGGGAATAAAGGCATGAACCACCACGAAAATATGTCTATAGCTAAAGATTGACCAGGCCAAATAAAGCCTCTTTTTTCAAACAATTCCAATTCATTTAGAAAGATAAAACCAGGCTGGGTGTAGTGGCTCACTCCTGTAATCCCAGCACTTTGGGAGGCTGAGGCAGGCAGATCACTTGAGATCAGGCGTTCAAGACCAGCCTGGCCAACATGGGAAAAACCTGTCCCTACTAAGAGTACAAAAATTAGCCGGGCGTGGTGGCACGTGCCTGTAGTCCCAGCTGCTTGAGGCACGAGAATCACTTGAACCCAGGAGGCAGAGTTTGCAGTGAGCCAAGATTGCACCGCTGCACTCCAACCTGGCGACAGAACAAGACTCTGCGTCAAAGAAAAAAAAAAAAAGAATTAACCTGTCCTGAAGGACAAATGAACACCTGTCAGGTGACTGGTGGCCTATCCTGCAGTTTTTGCATATTTCTAGAAACAGCTGAGCCTAGTAGTTCATTGCCTTGGGAACTCTGACTAGTTACCTGGTAACCCATGACCTTTCCCAGCTGGCTTTGTGAAGATCAGAGAGGTCTCCGAGCTTTCTATCCTCCAGCCTTGGATTTTCTGACTCCTGGAATCCCTCTCCCTCCCAGCCTGTCAATGCAGATATGACCTTCCCATTCCCCATACCTGGATGAAGTTCCCTTCATAGTCAAAGAAAAGCAGTGGCCATGTGATGCTGATGATGGAGGGAAAGAGCTTCTTCAGAGGGATCTGGAGAGAGAGAAAGAGGAGCAGGAGTGGCATCTCCAGGAAGACCTGGCTGTAACTGCCGCCTGGGTCCCCTCGTCACGGCTGGACTCTCACCGGCAAGGACTGCCCCACGGTGCTATGTGCCAGGGCCTGGATGTTGCTGGTCTTGTCTTTCACCTGCTCCACTATAGTCTGCACCTCCGTGAGGTTGTCTAGGAAGGAGGATATCAGAGTCAAAGGACATCAGGATATCAGGAAAAGGAGGGCATTGGAGTCAAAAGGCTGACTGTGCAGCTGTTCCTCCTGCTCCCCGGGCTAGGGTCCAGTCAGGATATTCACCCCATCCCTCCCTCTGAGCAGGTACCCTAAGACCCAAAAAAATAACAGTGCCTCTGAGTCATTCTGCTTCCCCCCTCCACTTCCCTCACCACTCCCATCTTTCCTCTTACCATCCAGGGTGAAAATGAAGACCACAGTGTCAATTTCCATGAGGGAGGGCAGGATGGAAGTCAGGAAGTCCTCCTGGGAGAAGGAGAACTGGGGACCCTGGGGCAGAAGAAGATGGGAGGGTCCCTCCCATGAAAACACTCTAAAGCACAGACTCGAGCTCTAACACTTTTGTCTACAGGTGAAAAAGCAGAGGTTCAAAAAGGTACAGTGTTTTGCCCAAGATGATGTAGCAAGTCAGTGGACTAGGGCCAGGTTTGGGGATTGGATCTAGAGCTTTCCACACTCCCCATGCTACCCCTGAAAGCCTCATGACTTCTGACCCATATTCTCTTCTCTGGACTAT